AATAGGTGCGATGCTAATCAATCTCTGTAAACTGATCAGCACCGTCACACTTTATTTGCACTTTAACAAATTAAAATAACTTAAATCTGCACACAAACAATACTTGCTTTATTTTTTTAAAGATCAATAAGAATCTAAAATAAAGAGTAATATAATTTGTAATATAAATTGTACTTACTTTGTTATGACATAATGAAAATAATTATTTAAAATAAGAAAAATAATATTCATAAATATAAATAATGTAGTATCAATAGTTTCATCGGATTCAATGGTTTCCGACAGGCGGATTTCATCAGATTTCGTCGGATCCAACAATTTCCTGCTGTCGGATCTCACCGGATCCTATCGTCGGAATCCGACAGAATCCGACGTCGGAAATCATCGGAAATCAACGGATAATAATGGTTTCTGACAGTCGGATTCCAATCGGAGCCGACTATCGGAAAGTGTCGGATTGCGTCGGACCCCACAGGATCCGATAGGGTGAGTTCGACCTGGATCTAGTACCCAGGTCGAATTCACCCTGTCGAATCCGATAGAAATTCGCCGGAATTTGTCGGAATCCTAACCACAGGATTCCGACAAGTGGTTCTGGATGTCGGAAAGTGTCCGAGTTTCAGGGATTTCGCAGGATCCTGATTATTCCGACATCCGGAACCTCCTGTCGAAATCCTGTGGCTAGGACGCCGACAACTTCGACGAGTTCCCGTCGGATCCGTTAAAATCCGGTAATTTTTCCGATATAATCCGATATAATCCGACGTAATCCGACAGTCGGATCGAATCACCTGGGTAATTCGAGATGCATCAGTGCAGGAGAAAAAAATTATACACCCAATATATGAAATCATCATTGGACATAAAGAACAGAATGCTCACAATAATATGGGAAAACGACTAGAATAATAATACTCAGTTTCTCACCAAAAACGTAAAATTCAAGTTTTTAATTACAAAAAACTGACTTTTTGAAATGGTTGTTCTTTCACGTGAAGTTCTCTGGCGAGTTTATTTAGTACTTTTTGACGAGTATATTTAGAATTAGGATGTAGTGGTGTGTATATCTGTCTTCCGTCAGTCTAGAGTTCAGAGAATCAAGAATCGATGAATGTTACTTGTTTGTATAGAATTCATTGAATTGATCTCAAATAAAAGAGTGTGTGAACGTTTGTAAGCGAAGATAACAGAGAAATGAGAAAACTATATGATCATTTTCACATAAAATACAGTCAGCATGCAACAGAAGCTGACTTAGATCACCTGCTATTGCTAATGGGCAATTATGATAGAGCAATCTATTTTTGTAAACTTTACTAATTCAAAATTATGAATAAATTATTGATCTCATTATGTATTGCTATAATTTACTTGGACAAGCATATATTAATAAATTATGCTATGAATTAGCATTAGAATATTTTGAAAATGATCTTCAAACTCAATTGCAATACGATTCATCGAATACTAACTCATTATCAACAGCTTATAATAATATTGCTCTTGCTCGTGGATGATTGAAATCCAGTCATTCATTGATTCGTGTATATTACGAAAAATCACTTCATTTACAGCTAGAGTCATTGGAATCAAACTATCCTCTTATTGCAACAATACTACATAACATGACGCCGTTCATGGATACGATGGAAGAATCAATTGAAAACTATTTAAAAGTAATTGAAATTTGACAAGCGCACCTACCGACAGTTCATCCTTTAATTGCAACCATAAGTATTCTTGTCTTACTTGTGTCTAGTGGCAATACTACGATAGCATCGATATGTTTTGAAAATGTAGTAGGTAGGCACAAGAAATATTTACTAGTGCATCCTCCTTTAAATATAGATTCCTATATGAATTTTAGTTCATTCGAGCGACAAATTAGCGCAAATCATTGCAATATTATTCGAAGATATTAGACGTTGCATTTTATTGCTCTGATGAAACAAATCGAAAAAAAAATTTCAGTGGTATATAATAACATGAGTGTTATTTACATTCGTTTAGAAAAATACGAAAAAGCACCCGAACCAGTGGCGGCGGAGCCATTAGGCTTGAGGAGGCTCATTATTTGAGAAAATTTTAGGATCTCATTTTGAATTAAACTGGATGTCACAAATGTTATCAACAAAGTTTATTTTGTATGTATCTTTGCATGTAAAATGCTAAAATCATGAGTTTTTTAAAATGCGTTGTCAGCGCTCTCTACAACAACTTTATCAAAAAATCCTATTGACTTCCATTGATGAATTTCTAGAAAACTGAAAAAAAAGATGTATAAAAGGTTTATAATTTCCATTATATTAAAAATCAGAAATATATTAGAAATAAATTCTATTTTTTATTTACATTCGCAGAGACAAATGGTAGTAATTAGATTGCTTTGAAAGATTTGCCGTTAAACTCTCCATAATATTCCGAGAAAAGGTGTCCTTAGATTATTGTAAGCGATTTTGAAAGGGCTATATGTAAAGACGTCAAAGACACTGTTATGTGTCACTATAACAGTTGATTAACAGCGTCATAAATGGCAAGCTGATTATCGAAAGCAAGTCTTTCTGTACAAAAATGCGCTACTAAATACAGCAATACCATGAAAACAATCTGTTTCGTGTTCAAAAATCATCTTAAAGAATCAAAAATGAACAGTTAAGTGATTAGTTGTTTAAATAGAGAAACAAATTCAACTAAAACAGTAAAAAATTATACTCTCGTACATCTTTCCTTTTGGTTCTCATAAAAATTGATTAGAATAAGTCAAGAGAATATTTTTTTTAAAATTCAGGTTCTATGATTTGTTTGAGCAAAAATAAATAACACATAGATATATTGAAAATATTTTTATTTTTTCCAATACAGCGGAAAGTAGCAACATTTTAAACATCTTTTCTTTCATTTTTTTTAAAAGCTCATCAGCACAAGTCAACAGGACTTTGTGATGCAGTTGCCCAAGAAAACTCAGCAATATCTCCTAGGATTCATTTTTCGGAATTTCTCTATAAATCTCGGTCTTCATTTTATCATCAAACGAAAATAACTAACGCAAAGATAACTGTCTGACTGAGAGTGACGACACTCAACATTTTGGACGAGCACTAGCTGAAGATTAAGTCTTACTCTTCCGAATCATGAATTTTTTTCTTGTAGCTAAATTTTGCTCAATGCTGTCATTTAGATAAATTCTATTATTTAAAAGAATTCAGTAACTACCAAAATATGAATTCCGTGACACTCTCAAATTCAGGAGTGCATCTTTTGAAAATGGTTCACGATTATATGATTTGTCTGTGCAAAGATATATACAAAATCGACTATATTCAGAACATGTTGGAGCACCCGATATCTCTTTAGTAAAAGTTAGCGTAGAAAACTAGAAAATTTCCCCTCTTCCTTCATATTACTTTCAACTTTCTTCCCCGTTATCATCTGTGAAGTTGCGAGCCTCCCCTAGATTAAAATGGTTCCGCCGCCTCTGATTCGAACATTTAATCAAAGTTAAAGAATGTGAATTTAATCAAGACAATAGTGTACGATACAACAACATAAGAAACATATATACAGAAATTGGTTTACCACATCAGAACTAAGCAGTCACTCTCTACCAGAAGACACTTGAAATGAAAAATGATTATATAACTGCATCAATGAATTATGAACAAACTTTAGAAACTGCTTTGATCAAATTACCAAAGACTAGTATTCTTTTAATACAATGTAAAAACGCTATTGAAAACATAAGTAATATTATGATCGATAACTGAAATATTTGACATCATTACGATTTTCAGTGTACGTGTGTGAACACTCACATTCACATCGCACCACCTTGATACATTTTTCATTTATATAAGTTTTGAAAAAAGCCCAAGTTAATCTAACTATTCATTATAACACAAAATGAAGTCAATTTCATAGTATTAAATTATTTTTGTTGTATTTTCACAAAAAAAGATTAATCCCAGTCTATTCAATTTTTTAAAATTCTATTCATATTATAGTAGTTTTAATAGAATTACTTTTATAAAATTTAGCAATAAAATGATTTCATTTTAGGGTTTTCATTTATATCTATGTTTATTTATTACATATTAGGGGTGTGAATGTCGGACTGACCTCTGCGAGAGGGGCAAAAGTGTTCTCTTTAGTGATAACCACATCCACACGGTGTTTTTTCTGAATGATCTTTTAGTTACTTTCTTTTAATTTTACTATTTGATTTCAAGTTTAATATGATTAAATTGAATATAGAATGAGTACTTTTCAACAGTTTGGTAAAGACAAAGTTATTCTTTTTAATATTTTTCTAAATTAGTTCTAAATTTTTCAATTGGAACTTCAGTAGATAAATAGACAAATAACAATTAAACTACCATATTCGTACATAAAGATGAGAAAATTTGTCATAAAACCATTGCTAATTAGAAAGAAAAGAAATGTTTTGCAAAATGTGCATTGCTGATAGAACTGATATTGATTTTCTTTTTAATAAAGTAGAAATTGATTAATTCGAGTGATATATTTACATGATATCAGACATATTATATGATTGTATACTATGAAGTCTTAGATTAAAAGAGTGCTGCATCTAATAAAGGTAACAACCTTCGCTAGCAATTCCACGTTGTCAACAAGCTACATATGCCTGTAAGTGAAATTCATTACATTGATTAAATGCAGCGCTTTTTAACCTAAGATTTTTTTTCCTTTAAAAGCATTGATCAAGTTTTTTTTTAATTCTTCGAAAAACAAATGCGCTCATTATCAATATTCGAAACTCAATATATTCATCCATCTTCATTTTCAAACTAGTTATTCACTGTGCTTTTCTCTTATTCCGTAATTAAAATCTTTTCATTTTGATAATGTCCTTTTGTGATGAGATCCATTTTCTAAATGAAGATTTTTAGATTGAGAAAGTTATATTTTACTTGAAGAAATAAGATTTTTCTAGCTTTTATTCATTTGAGGACAAAATACAAACATATTAGTTTGAAAGAATGTCTTCGTTGAAGAATTATCTTTGTAATTTAATTTTTTTTGCGCCCGCTCCTGATAGTAATGAAAGAGAAGATGAACAACAACGTCTTAGTAATATTATTGCTACTCGAGTTTATCTTATTGTTCTTCTAATAAGTTTAATTTCAATTGGTATATTTCTATGGATAAGTCCTTATATGACGACAGTTACATTGGAATATTTAACAAAAGAACAATTAAAAAGCCTTCCAATTGGTATACAATGTCCTTGTTCTCGTATATCAATATCATATGGTGAATTTACATCATTAGATCCGAATTATCATCAAATATGTTCAAGTGATTTTATTAATGATCGATGGATCAATGCAATCTTTACTGGTTCAAATGTAACTTATTTTAATATAAGAGATTTTCGAAGTTTTTCTAGTGCTCAATTTCAAGCATTAGCTGCATTTTGTCATTTATCAAAATCTTATGTACAACAGAGTATTGATACATTTAATCAAAGTACATTTAGTAGTTTATCAGTTTTATCTGAATATGATCTTCAAATACAAACTCAATCAATTATTTATCAAACTCAACAAATAGTTCCTCAAACTTTTACAAATCAATTAGATTTAATAATTCGAATGACAACAGGAAATAAAATTGTATCGCGATTACTAACAAATTATATTATATCATATTATAATGGGTGAATCCATGAGGACCCATTCACTTTTTTGGAAAGTTTTTTTTTCGCTTCAAAATGCCGGTATGCACTCGAAAACACTTTTGATGAAAAAAAATGAAGTACTTTCTATTAAAAATTCCGAGTTTTTGAGCAATTTTTCGAAACCCCTATGGTGTATTTTTACATATAGAAAAACTATCAGGAAAATGCCTAGAACTTCTTCAAAAGCTATTTTTTCGGACTTTTCTTGTGTTCAAAAATATGAAACAAGTCAAGAAATATGTTTCCTGAGAAACATTAGACGCATCCTATTGAAAGTCTTGAGTGCTCAATCATTTTCTTCGAATTCATGAACCTAAGACTAAAGAAATCTAATATAAGGAGGACATAAAAAGCTGTCCAATCTGTCTGAATGTTGCGTATCATCATTAAGTTTGACTTTAAAAAAGTTGATCGACTGGAAACGACATAAAAAGGATTTTTATTTCAATGTAAATGTCCTGATATGTATTGATCGAGATGTCAAACTATATTGAACCGTTGAATTGCTGATCGGTTTGAATTCATGCATAGTTCGAATTTCTTGTATTGTACCTAAATCAATACAGACATAAGCGAATAGAAGCAAAAGTCTTTTTCACCTGTTGTTCGAAGTTTTTCACTTCTAGCTTTCAGATAACTGTTCTTCGCTTCTTCTACTTTATCTGATTCAAGAAAGAAGACATGAACACCAGGAATATCTTTGTTAGATCTTCTTGCTGTTTCAAGTTGTTGTTTTTGTGTGAATTCGTAGAGGTCTTTTGCCTTTGACATGAGAATATTCTTGGAAAGTCCCAGGTCGAAATAGCTATGTCGGATCCTGTCGGATAGGTTTCAAATCCGTTGAGATACGGCTAATCGGATTCGGTCGGTTACTTTTTGTCGGATTCCGATGCTATCCACTGTTTTCCTTTGATATCCGCCGGTCGGATTCATCGAGTTCCGACTAGATTCATATATTCGGAACTGGTCAGATCCGATCTCAAGATCTGTTCGCTTCCGGTGGGACTCCGGGGAATCTGATGTCAAGAAATGGCCGGATTTTGCGGTTTCAAGTGACACCGGATTCCATGATAAAACCGATCAATCACTGATATCAGAACTTGTCAGATTATATAAGAATGCAGAATACCCAGGCCGATCTCACACCATCGGATCCGATGAAAATTAGTCGGAAGTTGTCGGATGTTGGAATATGTCGGATTTTCAGAGTTCCGACAAGATCCCGGCCACTTCCGACACTTTCCGACATCCGACAACTTCCTGTCGGAATCCGATACCAAGGATTCCGACGAATTGCCGTCGAATTCGATAAAATTCGATAATTTTTCCGATAGGATCCGACGGGATCCGACTGTCGGATTGCTCGTTCTGGGTATCCAGTATTATTTTCCACGTATTCGGATTCATGAATTAGAATATATTCTGACAGATCAATCAGCTAATCATCTAATAAGATATTTCTCTTTTTACAAATTTCCAACAACAAAATCAAAAATCTGGAAATCCGATTTCGTCCAGATTTCATTCACCGTTTTGTTCTGCAGATATCGATCTATATAAGGAAGACTCTACTTTAATATTTTGAATAAATTTCCAAAGTGTTGCTTAGATTAATTTTACTTCAAATGATGTATTTCCTTATACAATTATGTTTTCTACGGAATCGGATTCTTGAATAAGATTATATTCTGACGGATCAATGAGCTAATCAATTAATTAGATATTCCTCTTTTTACAAATTCCGACAAGCAAAATCAAGAATCTGGAAATCCGATTTCGTCCAGATTTCATTCACCGTTTTGTTCTGCAGATATCGATCTATATAAGGAAGACTCTACTTTAATATTTTGAATAAATTTCCAAAGTGTTGCTTAGATTAATTTTACTTCAAATGATGTATTTCCTTATACAATTATGTTTTCCACACAGCGGATTCATGAATTAGTATATATTCTGACGGATCAATGAGCTAATCATTTAATTAGATATTCCTATTTTTACAAAATTCCAACAACAAAATCAAAAATCTGAAAATCCAATTTTGTCCAGATTTCATTCACCGTTTTGTTTACAGGTATCGATCTATATAAGGAGCTCTCTACTTTCATATATCAAGTGAATTCTGCCATTTTGTATAACTAAGTTCTATATATTAGGAACAATCTTAGTACAAGCATTGTTCAATTTTAAGAAGAATCGTAGTATATACATTGTTAGATTCTAGAAATAATCCCAGTTGAAACAGTTGAAATCCTTTAGACTCTTGATGACATCCTGATGCAATCTTTAGAAATTTTGATAACATTCTGGTGAAATCTGTTCAAAATGTCGATTCAATCTTTGGAAAATCTTTAGAATTCTTGATGAAATCCTTAGGAAATCTTCAGAAATCTGGATGAAATCCTGGACAAGCATTTAGAAATCTTGATGAAATCCTTGGGAAATCTTCATAAATCTTGATGAAATCTTTGCGAAATCTTCATAAATCTCGATGAAATCTTTGCGAAATCTCGATGAAATCCTTGAGAAATTTTTATAAATTCTTGATGAAATCCTTAGGAAATCTTCATAAATCTTGATGAAATCTTTGCGAAATCTTCATAAATCTCGATGAAATCTTTGTGAAATCTTCAGAAATCTCGATGAAATGCTGGGGAAATCTTTAGAAGTGTCGATGAAATCCTTGAGAAATCTTAAGAAATCTTGAGGAAAATTGGATGAAATTGTCAGAAATCTCTACTAAATCTTTGGAAATTTTGAGAATGCTAGAATGAAATCTGTGTGAAATGTTGATTGAATCCTTGTACAATCGAAACAGATTCAGCCAACTTCTGATGAAATCCGACTGTATTCTATCGGAACCTTACGTTATCAGGCGTTTCTCTGTGGAAGGATCCTGGTGGTTACGGCATTATCTGACAAACAGTTCCGACAAGATCCGATCGGATCCTTTCCGACGTAATCCGGTCCGGAATCCGTTAGTTAGGAATCCTGTGAAATACGGTTGGGTTCCGATCGGATTTAGTTGGGAACCCGACGAATTCCGGTGTGATCCGACATCGGATCCGATAGTTTCCGGTAGGATCTACAGGTCGGATTGAATCACCTGGG